GAAGGCTGCCTAGGGTTTGAGCACAGAGAGGGAGGAGCATTTGCTGAGACCACAGCAAAAGCATAGCTTTAGAATTAGGAACATGTGGGTCACACTCAGGAAATAATGAAGGCCCCAGCTCATAGTAGCAGAGGGCTTGGCTGGAGCGTAGCGGAGTATAAAATGGGAGATGCAGGGAGAGGTGGGGTTTTAGAGCTTCTTCCCAGCCAGGCTGAGTAGATGCATGAGGCAGGAGGAAGCCATGATGGTGGATGAATGACATATTTTAATTAAATTAATCTGGCCACATTGCGGAGATAGGACTAGGAGAAGAGTCTGGGATCATTAAGCTTTTAGTATTGATCCCTGTCTCTGGTGCTGTAGGCCTGAACTCTGGTGATCCATTACCCAGGTGGATATTGAAAAGTCTCCATCCAATTTCTTACTAGCCACAAGAGTGAGGAGAATTTAAATATTGGAAATTATTTCAGAAAGTGCCTCGCTAGTGCCTTCCCTCTCTTTTGGTTATTTATTAAATCATCTCAGATGTTTGCTGCTGTTGTGCCTAAGCTGCTTAACATTTCTTTATCTCTTACAAATAATGGTCTTGATAACCTCCTCATCATTATTTTTCCTTTAAATATTGAACTACAGATGTGCTGCCCGGGCACGCTCTGGTGGTTAATTAGAATGTCATTGGTGAAGCTTGCATAGCAGTGTTGTAATTACTTCCCTGAATCATCTTAATTCCCCCGCCCCCCTCACCCCGCGTCCACATCTGAAACTGAAAATATCTGTCCAACCCTTTGGTCTCAGCAGTTAGTCACGTGGTATGCAGCTGGTTATCTGAGGGTGGTCTCAATGCCTCATCCTCACCGTTCAGGTCTGAATGCAGAGCTTCTCAAGCAGCAACCCCTGTAATTAGTGTGTCTTCCCAAGGAAGGTCTGGAGCAGTGGTTTGCTAAGTGTGGTTCCCACATGAGCAGCAGCCTCTGGGAAATCGTTAGAAATGCAAGTTCTCAGGACCTTCTCTCAGATCTACCAAATCAGAAGCCCTGGGAGGTGGGCCCACCAACATTTTAACAAGTCCTCCAGGTGCAGGCTGAAGTTTGAGGACCGCTGTCCTGAACAAGTATCTTCACAGGGTTGGACAGCCAGACCCAGGGAGGGCAAACAGACTTCAGAATAACGCAGGGAAGTTTAGAGGCTGAGAAGAGAGGGCAATTACTTCCCTCTTGGAGATGATACAGACGTCCAGAGCAATAACTGTGGGAAGTGAGATTTTTGTCTTTCTCCCTTTGCCTTTGAGAGAAGACCTGGGACGCTATGGCTTGCCTTGTGCTTGGGAAAGACAAGCCCTTCAGTCTGTCTTCAGGAAAGACTGTTCCTACTCATGGGCCTCATTGGATGTTGTGTTGTTAAATTGATGAAGAAAGAGATATATTTCCCACTTTGTGTGAATCTTATTTTCCTTTATAGAGAGAGCTAAATTCTGAAATATGATTGCTTGATGGTTAGGAGGAAATGGGAGTTTGTCTTTCAACCTCTATCTAACACTGAATATTCATCCCATAGGAGGAAGGCTTTATTGAAGGCGTCCCCAGGGGTCCTGGTAAAAACCCAACATTTGCCTAAGGTTTTAGTATCAGTCTTGATCCATGAACTCTGGGAACTGAGGAATAAATACTTCATCAGCTTACCACTTATCTTGTGTCCTCTAATTATTGTCATTAATTAACCAAGGACAGTTAGGGAAAGTCCATTTTCTACTGCCAGGTTTAGAACTAGCGGTCCTCATTTTAATTCTTAAAACTCCACTTTTTATTTATTTTTTTTTAGTTGGCAACACAGGTCCATAAAAAGCCGGTTCTGCCATGGGCATGCTCATCAGAATGGCAACGACTTAAATCTAAGTGTGTAACCCCAAGTCACTTTCCTTGATTGTTTAAAAAAAAGTGATTTATTTTCTAGCTCTTGGAATTTCTGTGTATCTCGACAAGGAACTCTCCTACTTTACACAAGAAAGAAGAGGAGTTTCTATGTAATTGTCCCATTCTACAACGAGCGTTAATCATTAGGATAAAATCTCTTTGGGAGGAAAAGAAATCCTGGCTGATATGGCCAACCAACCCTTCTGTTTGTTGAATTATGTATGTAGTTTCTTTTTGTGAGATCCATGAACTTCTCCATGAGTCGTTTCCATCTGGGGAACGTAGAACTTCCCCTCCTGGTCTCTGATTGTGAGTCCATGGACCAAAAGCCCTTGGAGGACTGATCTCGGAGGGGATCCTGGTCAACAGTTCTGTTGCCACTTGAGAAAATTCAGCAGGACATTTCTGCTTGGGCTCTTTGGCAAGTTAAAGAGCTAAAGGGGGTAGAAAACTGACTCCCTGGTTACTCTGGTCCTACCTGGGCCCCAGGGGCTGGCCCTGTTTCCCCCCCAAATTTCCTGCTTCCCTCCTGCTCGCTCCTTCTTCTCAGCAGTGTGATCATTTATTGGTGAGCTCCCGCTGAGGAAGGGCTGCAGCACCAGCGCATAATTTACTCCCTCTATTATTTCAGCTCCAAGTCTAGGACTCGAGGAATGATACGAAACAATGATTAAATCGGCTCTAAATCTGACAGGAAAAAAAAGGTCTATTATGGTTTCAACATTGTTCTCTGTAAATCAGAGGGGCTGCAGAGGTATATTTTTCAACACCATGTCCTTTAGCATCAGCCCTCTCATTGTTGCCTTTGGAAATGGGCAGCATGGGAGGGAGCAGCAGAAATGGCAAGGGGGCACGGAACGGTGGAAAGAAGTTTCCGCAGCCTGATTCCTTATACTTTTTTGAACATCTGCTTCCACTGTTGTTGAACCAAGACATCCTCAATGGCATTGAGCTGACAGCTCTTCCCACACTGTTCTGTCCTCTTCCACAGTCTAGCAAGCACGTTCCCTTCAAGATGTATTTCAAGGTAACTACTAAGTTATCCATAGGGGCCAGGGGAATAATAGGAGGTAGGGAACTCACAGGACCCCCAAATATGCCATCCGTAACTCCAGTAGCTATTGTGAGGGCAATAGTAAAGTGATCACTTGGTCTTGGTGAAGTGATGGTGGGTTTCTCTGTCTTCTTGACTGAATACGCGTCAGTCTTGATGAATATGAATCTGTGATGCACAGCGAAGTTGCTGTTGGCACACATGAAGATGTGAGTGTCATATTTACCAGCAGAGCTCCCTGGCCTCACGCTCTTGCTCACCTCTTTCACCTACACTCACCTTTGCAAAGAGATGCAAGGTCCCTTCATCCCTTGGGATCTGGAGTGGATTTCTGCTCAGCTGACCTCACGTGCTTTCTTTCTCTGCAGCTAGAGTAGCTAAGAGCTCTGGCACCTGGGAACCTTGTGGGTTTTGTTCTTGAAACAAAAAAAAAATGCCATCATGGCTTGGGCGTTGCAGCAATGTCACATTAGCTCTAGATCTGCATTTTCCTTTTTGTGTTTAAATTGATACCTATGTAGGAGAGCAGGCAGAGAGCTAGGCTCTGCTGTCTGGCTTTTTCTCCTGTCTAAGCAAATTCATTGTCTTTCTTTCAAATCCCTTGCCTTAGTGAAAACCCAGTAGTTGCTGTTCCCTTTATAAAAGAACCATCTTTTTCAGCGTTTGTTTTCCGTTCAGTCTCCTTAGTTTGTAAATGCAAACGTAGATTACTCTTGATGCTTTGCTGGAGGTTTTTCATCCTGTTTGTGATTTGGGAGGTGACAAAGGGCATGTTTGACCTGTGATAGAGATAAGAATGGCTAAATCCAGTGCATGTAATAGGATCCCACAGACTGACCCACCCTGGCTGTAGGTGGGCTCCACATTCCCGTACTGCACAGATTCCTGCCTGATGAACAGACTAAGCATTGTCCTTACGGAAGTACAACTATACTAACTGGTACGGCATACAGTGATTTCCAAAGTGGCAACCCTGGAAATCCTCCATCCCGCATTTCTCAAGCTCGCCCTCTCCTGGCCTGGAGGTCCACGTTGCTTTCCATCTGGGGAAAGTATTTTACTTCTCTTTTGCTCACCTCACCTTCTTTATGCTCCTGGCCTGAGTGTTACCACAAATTTTCATTCACAGCTCTGAGATGCTTAGGAGTCTTCCCTGCTTCCCACCCAGCCCCAGACTTGGGCCTTTTCACACACTGATCCTCGGATCAGCTTGACGCGGGAAGGCACGCAGGAGCCGCGTACCAGTTTGTATCGTAGTACACTCTTGATCTGCCTACTCCTGAACAAAGTAGCGTGTTCCGGGGTCCGCATTCGCTGCTTGACACACACAGAGCCAGTTAACCTGCATGCCGAAAATAAAGATGAAATTAACCCTTAGAGTACTGCTTCAACATTTTGGTTTAATGGCCTTGACTTTTACCAGTTGGGCAATGCTTCTTCCCGGGTCAGAATGCGGCACATGAATCCACACTTAGTCTCCCCAGAACCTCAACCAGGGCCCTGTCCTCCACAGCTTTCCTGAGACGCTCCTGGGTCCTTCCCTGCTCATCAGCTGCTGGCTTTCAAAAGGTTCCCAACACGGCCACCGTGTTTAATTGGCAATGGGCTCCACTGCCAACGTGCTGGAGGGTGTGAGGGACTGCATTCAGCTCTGGGACGTGTCCTCTCAAAGAAAGAAGTCAGTCCTTTAAGGGTTAATGTGAAATGAAGGCATTTGGTAGTGTCTCTTGCTTGTCCTTCCTCCAAGGTGTCTGCATGACCTTCTTTAAATTTTTAGCTCAAATGTTGAATGATGATGAAAATAATAGAGAGATACAAAATTATAAAAATAAACAACAGAACAAAAGACTGGATGGTTGAATGGAAAGACCCCTTGGCGATGCTTGCTTGATGATCACAGGGGGTAGGATGACCGAGTGCTTTGTTTGATGGACGTTCACTGTGTCCTCTGCCCCAGCACCACCACTGCGCAGCCTGCGGGAGACTGGATGGTGCCTCTCATTGACCCCATGCTTTTTCTTCTTCCTGTCTAATAGCCCCATAGAATCCTGCCAGAATTTCTACAAAGATTTCACATTACAGATCGACATGGCTTTCAACGTGTTCTTCCTTCTCTACTTTGGCTTGCGGGTAAGTTGGAGCAACACTGCTCGGTACCGCCGTGGGGGGTGCAAGTCTTGTTCCCAAGGGCCAACCTCCACCAGCGTCTGCTCTCGCAGGCAGACAAAGCCCAGTGTTCCCAGGGGACACAGCTCTCCCGAGTGTTCACCTGTGGGAGAGCCTTTTCCTTAGAGCAGAGTTTTTCTGAAGTACATGTTCATTGTGTTCACGGGGGAAAACGGGGATTGAAATAACTATTATGCCTCCACTGGCCAACTGCTTCTCTTCCCTCTATTCAAACAGGAGGGCATTGTTCCCTTAAACAGAACTTAAAAAAGTGCTTTTTACCTTCAAATGTTTGTTTATCAGGGCTCACTTAGCTGAATCCTGAGAGAACAGTGGAATCAAGGGCGTAGCAGAATTTGGGGCTTGGGAGGGTTACACTCCACCCTGTTTATGACAAGAGTGGTACAGAGGTGGATTACAGAGGTGTGTGTGTGTGTGTGTGTGTGTGTGTGTGTGTGTGTGTATGAATGAATGCATCCATATACGCTTTATTTACATTAGAGAGTCTTCCCTCTGATGCAGTTGAAAACCACAGAAAAAATATACTGCCTGAGCTTTCTCCAAGGCCAACATAGCAAGCAATAAAAGAACAGCCTTTAGAAACGGCTGTCTGAATTCTAAGACAAAAATAGCATCTAATTGGTGTAGATATGAGAAGAATATAACATCTCCTTCCAGACCCCCACAAGAAACCAAACCATAGCCTTTGGCAGAGTATATTTTGAATGCTGGAACCAGGCTTCTCATTTTTCCCTCTTTTCTTTCCCCCAGTTTATTGCAGCCAACGACAAGCTGTGGTTCTGGCTGGAAGTGAACTCTGTGGTGGATTTCTTCACGGTCCCCCCGGTGTTTGTGTCTGTGTACTTAAACAGAAGTTGGCTTGGTAAGTCAGCCTCTCTTCCCTTCTTCCTCCTGCTTCCAGGGCCATAGCTGAATTAGAGACTCCAGGGCGGGTCAGAGGGCTGGGCTGTTCTGCGGGAAGGAAGTTGTGTGTGTTAATGTGAACAACTCCTGAAGTGTTAGACGCTGATGGGGACAGTTCTCGGAGCACCAGACCACAGGATTTACACAGCTTGTGCTTCAGGTAATGTGGTTTTGTCATTGTGGAAGCTTTTTTATATATATAAAAGCCTTAATGATTGTCCGACCATCCGACTGGTAGCCATGACACGCAATGACCACCAGGGGGCAGATGCTCAGTGCAGAAGCTGCTGAGCTGTGGTGACTTGGCAGCTGCAGTTCTCAGGTGATGCACCCTGAACCAGGGACGAGGGAGCCTGATTCTAGGGTGTGTCACCCGAGAACTGCCCTGTCATAATCCAGGACCCCTCGGGGGATGTCAGAGAGCTGGTTTTGGTCCAATCCCCGCAGGCCAGGCTGAGGGACCCCACCGGTGCACGAATTTGTGCACCAGGCCTCTAGTATATGTATATTATAGTCAGTATAAACATTCAAAAATGCTTACCTAAAGAAAATATTAATCATATTACCCTACTGCCCCCCTCCCTGCCTGCTCTCTGAGCTGCTCATTGTTAACAGACCCCACAACTTTCCTTCACATTTATTCCACCACAGAAAGCATGAGTGTTCACACATGATAGTGTGCTAGAAGTGGTGGTCTTTGTACAAGATAATTGTGTGAATCACATTGTACAAAAATTTGGTTTTCTTACTAATAAATGATGGACATCCGTTCAGCACAAAATTCCATATATTGTTGTGCCCCAGTTTATTCAGCAATAACCCTAATGATGGACCACTCGATCGTTTTCTTCTTCTACTGTATGCAATGGTCTAATAAACACACTCATCTACGTATTTGTACAATTCTATTTGCATAGATAGTTCTAGGTTCCTGGAAGAGGACTTGAATATGTATATTTTACTTTGTGCAGATGTTGATGGGTAACATTTCAAAAATGTTGTGTCAAGATATGCTTCTACTAGCAATATATTGTGATGTTCTTGCTAGCACTGTGAATTTATTATATACATAGTATCATATATTTTAAAAAATAAGCCTCTTTTATGTGTGGTATATGCAATAATCACATGCACACATGTGTGTGTGTCCTATAAGGGTACTATTTTCTACCAGTTTTCTCATGCTTGATTTGAGATGTGTTTGCTCAGATTGGGTGTTCCAGTCAACACAATGAGCCCATTGAGCTGCATGCAAATCTGAGAGATGTCTTCAGTATGACCCAGATGTGCTCTGCGGCCAAGGGTTCCAGACACCTCAGCTTAGCTTCTAAATGGCTTTGTGACCCAGGGACTCACTTTTCATCACTTGACCTGTTGTTTTTCATCTGTATACTGAAGGTTGGGCTAGGCGATCTCTACAGTTCTTTTGGCTCAGAAAGTCTCTACTATGCTTGTATTGATAGGAAATTTGGGGTCTAGGTTGTTGGGGAGGACTGGGAAGTTAGTGAAATTAAATCATCAACATTTCCAAAATTACATATGGACTGCTAACCAGGGCTTTTTCTAGCCATCCCATTGCAAAGAGTGCATACACACACACACACACACACACACACACACACACAGACACACAGACACACACACCCTTAAACAAAGAGGCAAAGAATGAAGGAAGGGAGAGAAGGAAGAAGAGAGGAAGGATAAGGGAGGGCAGGGGGAGAGTGAGAAAAAGGGAGGAAAGGAAGGAGGGGGAAAGGAAGAAGGATGGAAGGAAGAAATGGAATGTGCCTTCTCTTCTTGGCTATGCTCTGTGCACTTAACAGTCACTTTTCTTTTCTGGACCCTCAGTTTTCCCATCTGAAAAATGGGAGGGTTGCCATAATTACTTCCAGTCCTCATAGCTCCTGAATTTGAATTTCACGTAAGGATCCATTCTACCCGGGGCCTTGTGGTCCTAGATGGTGAGGAGACCCCTTCCTGACAGTGGTGGAGACACCTCTGCAGCCAGCAGGTCTCCCCCGGGTAAGGGTGTGGAGCCGAGCCTCCGCCTGGTGAGTGAAATGTGCCCTAGAGTGTCTTATGCCAGGAGACCTTGGGTGTTGTAAGAGCCCATGCCTTCTTGTGGATGGCTTCTTCCTGATTTCTGGAGGTGTGTTCTGATCTAGTGAGATCGATCAGAGCAAACAGAAAAGGGGGAAGAAAAAGGAAAGGGAAGAACATGGGATACATTTTGCATCTACTCTAGTTGCTCTTCAAAAAATGCTCTAAATGTGCTTCAGTTTGTTCATGAATTGAACAATATTTATTAAGCATCTACTATGTGTCAGGCACTTTTCCTGAAATCATAGACCAGTGACATTTTGGGCCCTGAAATAATGATAATGATAATTAGTAATAATAATAATAACCAACTGACCTTTCACCTCTTGTAGGAGAAAACACCTGTAATAACAACACTTCTTGTTCTTCGGTACCGAAGCCCCTGGGTGAGGTTCAGTACTGGTCTGCCTGTTGTGGAAGGGAATGCAGTGTGATAATGTTTCAAGGCGGCCCTCGTGTCTGACTTAATACCTGGGCTATTACACTGTGAGACAAGTGTTGTGCCAGCGAGCTGCCAGTGGTGAAATGAACATTCCCATGAGGCATGGCATGTAAACTAGAAGGAATCATCTCATTAAATGGGGCATTTCAGGAGGTGCCGCCTTCCTCTCGGGAAATGAAAGGTGTTGCCTCTACTGACTGAGGTTTGGGCTGAGCTGCAGGAAAGTGCGTCTCCTGGTTCTCCCACTCACACCTCCGTGGCCCTGTCCAGACAGAGGTCTGGGCTGCAGCTGGCACTTCGGGGCTAAAACACAGGGAAGGCCATGACTCCCCACACTGTCTTTCCCACAGCACAACCCTCACCACGTTTGATTTCTTATTGTTAATATATGGTTGCCTATTATATGTAGTACTAGAGGCCCGATGCACGAAATTCGTGTAAAAGTAGGCTTTCCATCCCCCGCTGCTGGCATCGGCTTCCCTCTGGCACCCAGGACCCAGGCTTCTCTCTAGCTGCCGGCAGGCACCTGGCATATTATGCTTTTATTATTATAGATAGTGTGGTATTTACTTCCATTTTTGTGCATATTCTTTGTGCCCTTGATAGTGTATTACTAATAACAGCTAATATTTATTCTGGCTCTACTAAGTTCTGGGTGCTCTGACAAGCCTCTGACAAACATGAACTCAATCCTCAGCTAGGAATGATTTTCCCCATATTGCAGGTAAGGAAACTGAGGCTCAGAGAGGTTAAGTATCTGGTCCAAGGCCACACTGCCAGGGCGTGATGAAAGGCGATTTGTCCCAGATTTGGTCTGGCTTTATGTCCATCCGCAGGCTGCGCTCTTCCCCCTGTCCTGCCCTGGAGAGTTTTGGGGTTTGAGGAACTGGGTTGGGGATGACCCAGCTGTTGCACCTTCCATCTCTTCTCACTCACTGAGGGCTTCGCTGGGGGCAGGCAGGGAAGAGATCTTGTTTAAGAACACACACCCTCATGGCTTCTTCCCACGTGTCCTTTCCCACGCCCAGTTCCTAGCGTGGCCACTGGGACCAGGGAAACATAGGTGTGCCCTGAGTCCCGGGGCACCTTAGCCACTTGAGGATCAGTTCTGCCTCACCTGAGAGAGATGGGGGCGGCCGCCCATCCTACTCCACAGAGCAGAGAGGATCCAAGATGAGCTCTGGCTCCACCCCCTCAATTCACGTCAAGGCTCAGCCACTTGCTGATGGGTCACTCTGAGCAAGGTCATTGTTCCTGTCTTACCCTCCGCCTTCTCACCTGCACAAGAGGGGTGTTAATAGCACTCACCTCATAAGGTTAAAGTGGGGATTCAGTGAGGTAATCTGAGTGAAGTGCTAGGTACATAGGACGAACTTAATGATCATTCTGGGCCTCTCTTTCTCACCTACCTGTCAGACTTTAAAGCCCCAGGGAAGAGCCCTGGCTGGGTGGCTCAGTTGGTTGGAGTGTTGTCCCGTACACCAAAAGGTGGCAGGTTCGATTTCTGATCAGGGCACAAACTTGGGTCGTGGGTTCCATCCCTGGTTGGGGCAGGTACAAGAGGCAACTGTTTGATGTCTCTCTCTCTCTCTCTCTCTCCCTCTCTCCCTTCCTCACTCTAAAATACATATCCTCGGGTGAGGATTAAAAGGAATAAAAAATAAAAAACAGAGCACCAGGGAAGAAAACAAACCAGAATAGGAACCAAAATAAGGCCGCAGGACGTGAGGACATCCACGTCCACAGGCAGCACGCCGCTGCTTATTTTAATTCCTGTTCCCACACACCAGCTTTTTCATTTCTGTTTCTTTCACAAAATTACTCTCCTCCCTCCCTAAAATAAATAGGCCATGAAATGAGAGCTGTGTCTTATTTTGAGACGTGAATGATATGCTCTGGGGAGAGCTCTTTTCTCTGTGTGTCTCATGCTTTTGGGAACTACATCCCTAAGGAAGGCCAGTGGGCTGTGGCTCCTTTGTGTGTTTATGTATTTTTGTTGAGGGTCATCTTGTGTGGTTAAAAAGAAGAAAGGAGAGAAAAAATATGCACTCGCTGGCCAGTCAATGAAGCTGTTTTTCCGGAGCACCTATTGTGTGCTCAGCGCCTGGAGGAGGGCCACCTGCCTGGCCACCCTGGGCTTGCTTCACTGTGATTCTCCACATCCTCTGGCCCCGCTTCTCTGACGGAGCAAGTCAGAGCCTAGTGAGGAGCCACAGTCATGGACCCTGGTCGATGTTAGGCCTGGCCTTGGCCCTTAGACTTTAGAACCTTCAGCAAACTCTGCTAGAAAAAAAAAAAAAAGAGTTAATGCCCTGCCATAAGGCAATTCAAACGACGTAGGCTCTCTGCTTATAAAATATGCCCAGGCAGTCCGTGTTTGTGTTATAAGGTGATAAAAACAGGTTTGGGGAAAAAGT